CAGCAGTGTAGAAATAATCAGCATGCTTTACTGCAACCCGAAGATCTTCTACTAGAGTGCCAGCAGCCTGCAGAGAAAAGGCAAACACTGGGAGCTTGTTTATATGCCAGCACCGTTGGAGCCAGAAATGTGATGGCAACAGCAGAGAAAAAGTTAATGTGATCAGAATTCCAGTGACCAAAAGGGGGCTTGGTAGACAGAAAGAGACAGGGCCAAGCTTGAATTTACTGGAAAAGTCAAGATTTGTATGTAAATTTAGCTGCTTACATCTCTGAATCTACTGATTGTTTTGACTTGCTGGGTTTAACTGTGATTGACTTCTGATTATACATTTTTCATCATTCACTTACCTTGAATTGCCCAGGTTTGGGAAATAAACAATTGTTCAGATGTAGACATGGCAAAATTGCAACATGCAGCTTCCAAGTGGCATCTGTTAGGACTTTACCTCTCCAGCACCAAGCTCATGTGCACAAGGATGCATGTAAAGTTTATCCTTTTCTGGTAAAACAGGTCCCATGTACTGTATGTATTTCATCTATGTATGTAATTGTTTTCCCGGTGTTCAGCTCAGACAATTACAGGGTCATGCTGACACTAAGGGTTGATTTACTAACCTTATAAACACGACACGAACACGCCATGCAAAAACATGCCTGTATAGCGCCTGTGCGCATATAGGCGTATTGCGCGAAAGCGTGTTAATAGGCGTGAATCAATGCTGTTAATGCAAACGCCTGTTAATGCTGTCAACATGCGCGGATGGCGTGTTATCATCTACGTGTAAGGCACTACTTCCTGGCTACAGCTTAAAGGATTGCCTCATGAGGATATTTAATGGCATTATGATTGTTGAAATGGAAATATATTGGGGTCTATTCACCAAGCTGCCGAGGGCAGCCGAGTGAATGACCGATCTGAAGTGAAGTGAGCCGAACACTGTTCGGCTATTCACTTCAGGCTGGTACGGCTGATTTCAGCCGTACATCGGCTGAAATCAGCCGTACATCGGCTTGCTTCGAGTGGCTTCGGGCCGGCCGAACATGCTCAGCATGTTCGGCCGACCCAAAGTGCAGAAGGAGTTCGACTCAGCCGATCCAACATCTGGATCGCTGAGCCGAACCTCCAGATGCATATGCGTTCGGCTCGGCTGAGCCGCTCAGCCATGATCGGGAGCTGTACGGGCTATTGTGAATAGCCCGTACAGCACCCCTTCGGTTCTACTGAACCGAAGGGGTCCTGGGGCCGAAGCTAGCCGAAGAATGGGCCGAAGCTACGGCCAGATCCTTTGGCAGCTTCGTGAATAGACCCCATTGCTTATTGTAACCTGAAATTTTAGTTTAAACGGCTTACTGTTTCTGAGCCACCTCCAAGAAGTGGAAACATTCATCATCACAATGCCTATAGCACAGTGGCTTAGGGGTTAGAGCTACTGCCTTGCAGCACCTGTGCCCCTGGTTCAAATCCTGCCTCAGATCACATGGAATTTGAACATTCTCCCTGTGCTTGCATAACCCTTCTCCAACCACCAGGCATTTTGCTGGACGGACGCCTTACTCCAACCACCAGCAGAATAATGCTCTACCAAGATTTAGGATCATAAATGCTTCAGGGCAGCTCAGTGGCTTAGGGGTTAGAACAATTGCCCTACAGCACCCAACTCACCAGTTCAAATCCCACTTAGGACCCCTTCTGCAAGGGTTTCATCCCATGCTCCAAAGACATGTAGGAAGGTTAATTGACTCCTTGGTAAGTCCCCCAAAGGCATAGATTGATGTTCATAATGATAAAGCACACAACGCATTTTCTACACTACATACATAATAATAAATTGCTTAAGGATTATAATCAATTTAATGATGGATGAGCCTAATGGTAAGGGGAATGCATTTTGATATGCATGCATACTTATGTAGATACAATAAACTACCAGTTATCTGGCACCCATGGGGATTGGTACGTATCGGATAACTAGTTTCTGATGTTTGAGAGTTAATAGTAACTCACAACCAACCACCAGCAGCACAGTTTCCCCCATTCACCTGCTGGCTAGCTTCCACAGCTGACAGGCACGGACGAACATCATGGCCCAGGTGACTTGCACATTCTCCCTGTGCTCACCTTGTGCGTGCGTGTATTTAGGTTAGTAAATCACCCCCTATTACTAAGTTTTAGATCATTAGATTGCCTTTGCCCATGATTTATTACATGCTTTTTTAACGCTTGCCCTAAATTTGAATTCGCCCTGTGATTTTGTTCCGACAGTACCATATTCCGGATTTTTCAAGCCTCTTTCTAGTTTGTGAATTGAATTAGGGTTAGGCTGACATCGTTCT